GGGCGCGGCTGGGAAGAGCAGTGCTCGCAGGGGGGATACTGCTTTTCCCCGGGCGTCCTTGTTGGGCTTGAGGCGCAGCCACCCGCGGCCCAGCGGGCATGGGACCTGTTCTCAGCTTCGGCCCTGCTAGGTCCATGAGCACCCTGTGGGTGGATGGGTGGGATATCGGAGGGGGAGGGGGAAGGGGAGGGATGGGTTTAGAGTGGACTCAAAGGCATGGGACCTGTTCTCAGCTTCGGCCCTGCTAGGTCCATGAGCACCCTGTGGGAAGGGGGAACGGAGGGGAGGGGAGGGGAGGAAAAGAGACGGGAGCGGACGGGATGGGACAGGTGGGACGGGAGGGGAAGGGAGGGAGGGGTTAAGAAGGTTGGAGTTGTGGTGGTGGGAAAAATGTCAGAGCGAAAAAATGGAAAAGGTGGAGGGCGTCAGAGGGCAGCGAGAGAGAGCATTGAGACCTGCACCATCTGGTTATATGCCTCACAGCCCCACCCAAAACTTTCCCCTCACACCCCCCCCACACCCCCTCCCCACCCCCCTCTCACCCCATCCCACCCCCCCTCACACCCCCTCCACACCCCCTCACACCCCCTCACACCCCTCACACCCCCTCACACCCCTCCCACGCCTCCCACCCCCTCACACCCCCTCACAACCCTCCCACGCCTCCCACCCCTCCCACCCCCTCACACCCCCTCACACCCCTCCCACCCCTCACAAACCTGCAGGGGCGGCCGAGCTGCGCGGAGAGCTTCCTGACATTCGCCATGATCCGCCCCCACACCACGGGATCGTCATGCGCGCAGTTCACGCGCGCCACGTTCATGCCCGCGCGCAGCAGCTCCGCCACCAGCGCCCTGTCCGCGGCGGCCTCCACGGGCAGCGTGACCATGATGAACGTCTTGCGGTGGGGCGGATGCGCGCCGAGCAGGTCGACGGTGTTGCGCTGCAGCTGCCTGTCGCCGTCCGCGAAGTCCAAGACTGGCGGAGAGCACGTCCGTTGCTAGGGCCTCCACTTGAGACGCCTGCGACGGGGGGGGTGGTGTGCGGTGGGGTGGGTGGGGGTGAGATGTGGGTGAAATGCGGGATGCGAGCCGAGCAGGTCCATTGTGTTGCGCTGCAGCTGCCTGTCGCCGTCCGCGAAGTCCAAGACTGGCGGGAGCACGTCCGTCGCGAGAGCTTCCACTTGAGACGCCTGCGACGGGGGAGGAGTGCGGTGGGGGTGGGGTAGGGTGTGGTGGAAAGGGGGAGTGTGGGGGTAGAGATGGTGGGTGATTGGGGGAGACAGGAGGAACAACGGGGATGCGGAGGAGGAATCGGAGAGAGGTGGGAAGGGAGAGAGAGGGGAGGCGGGGGAGGAGGAGGGCGACGAGGAGGAGGGCGACGAAGACAGAGAACATAGATGCTGCACACGATGCACATGCAGCAAGCGCACAGCACACGCACCAGGTTCCTGGAATTGGCTCTGGACTTGATAGACGTCGACGCGGGCGCGGGAGAGGAGGTGGAGGAGGCGGAGGCGGAAGCAGAAGCGGAGGACGACGACGTGTCATTGGGCGAGAGCTCGCGCAGCATGGAGCGCACGACGCGCGTGACAGCGTGGATGGACGCGAGCGTGTGCGCCTCGGTGCGCCCAGCGACGACAGCCCCAGGTTCGCGAGCGCCTGCTGCAGGTGCCGCACGTCCATGTTGCGCAGCGCCATGTAGTGCAGCAGGTTGCGAGCCGACTCGCGGTACCGCCTGGGGGGGGGAAACCGGGGGAGGGGGGGATTGCGGGGAGAGGTGGGGGGAGGGGGGGGGCGGGAGGGGTTTAAGTGGGGCGGTGGGTGTGGGGAGAAGGACTCGAGGAGGAGAGGGGATGCTGGTTGCACATCTCCAGCTCCATCGTACGAAGCAGGGAGCGGGGAGTGGGGGGCGGGGAGCAGCAGCGTACGGCGAGGAGAGGTCGAGGTGGTGCTGGTTGCACATCTCCAGCTCCATCGCGTGCTCCCGAATCGCTTCCAGCTGCTCCACCAGCGCGCTTAACTCCCTCCGCCGCTCCTCGCGCAGCTTCTCCTCCTCCAGATTCTGCGCCTCACGCTTCGCCCTCCGCACGCGCGCCTCCGACCCGCTGCGCCCGCCGCTCGTGCCGCTCGGAAGCGCCCAATTGGACACGGCGTGCTCCGCCAGGGGCACGAGGAGGCTGCTGGCGGCTTCCGCGACGGACGGCGCGGTTCCCGGGCCGAAGCAGCGCTCGATGAGGCCTGGACGCGCGCGGCTCGCGGGTGGGCGACGACGAGCGCAGCGAGCGCGGGGCATCCGCGGAGGACGCGCCGATGATTGCATTCTCGGAGGGCGCGGAAGGCGGTTCGCCGTCCGCGAAAGCGGAGCTGCTTGAAACTGGTTCGGATGCACGAGGAGAGGATCAAGGCGAGAAGACCTCACCGCGGCGCCCTTGACGAGCGTCGATGCGCCGTTCGAAGAAGATGCAGCAGCAGCAGACGACGCCGCAGATGCGGACGCGGAAGCGGCGGCGGAGGCGGAGGTGCCCGATTGCGGATTGCCCGCGCGCGCACAGGGAGGCGTGGCAAGCGGCAGCGCCGGCGAGGGACGGAAGAGCGAGCCGCGAGCGTGCGAGGCTTGTAGCGGGGTAGGCCCGCGATATGGCGCGCGGGTGCTGGCGTGGCGTGGGGAAGTGGGAAAAGGGGAGAGGGAGTGTTGGTGGGGGGAATGAGGAGTTGACAATTGGATCATGGATGGGCTACGATGACAGTCAACGTTTTGAGACGACTCAAGGTTACTATAGCGAATTCGTGTCGGTGGACGTGGAGCAGAACGGCGTGGAAGGGTGAGGAAGGCTTAGAAGCTATTTGAAACGTAAGAAGAAGAGCGTAAAGAGAAGTGCGTAAGGAGAATTGCATGAGGAGAAATGCATGAGAAAGGGTTCAGGATGTACCCGAAGAACGAGGAGCCTATCCAATGAGATTGCTGCAGGATCGCATAGTGGCAATTGCCGTTGAAGCCAGATGCCGAAGCGATGGCGACCGGTTGCGTTGGGTCATGCGCGGTCAGGATGTCGGGTGGCACGGTGGAACCACGGTGATGTCAAGCAAGTCGTAGATTCGCGATAGGAACATGCAGCCAAACGGAAAGGTAAGCGAACATCAGGAAAAGCCAAGTGAGATTGCGAACATCAGAAGAATAAGGACCGCGTACAATCAATCACGAATCCTGCAAGGAATGGACGGTCTTATATCGATTTCCTATGGTAAGCCCCAATGTGGCAAGAAAGTGAAAAGAACCTAATCGAATGGCGGACCTCGTTTGATGGGAATTGAGTTGAGCGGAGTCCTGCGGCAGGCGGGATTGCTGCGATCACTGGTGAAGCTGCGAATTCCAAAGCCATGTCAACGTAACAACTCTGTTAAATAATAAGAGGTTCAGATACGGACGGTGTCGACGCAACTAGCTGGCAATGAGGGACTAACGCCTGCAAATCTAGGTACGCGAGGGAACTAAGCTGTCGCCCCTATTCGACTTCTCGGGCCTACAAGAGAATTATAGATGAGAGAAAACAATGGACATTGGAAGATGGATGTACAATCGAAGGACGCGGACTCCATTTATACTACTCTCGCCGCTTTCGAAGGGGGGGGAAGGGCTTGGGGTGGGGCATGGGGGCATGGTGTACCGCGCCACATCTCCGCGGATGCAAGATGCGGATAATTGCGGTAAACGTAGCGAAGGCTGCGTTGTACCTTCCCGAAACAAACCATTTTAAACAACAGATCAGCATCCATCCAGAAATAGATCGTTGCAGTAAACAGAGAAGTTTCTCTACAGCCTTTTACAAAGAGTTTAGCTAAGTGCACTTCGCTGTGCGCAACGAGAACTGCAGCTGTGACAACACATTCCATCACCACGTGATGAACCTGACGGACCGACTTGCGGAGCCTGACTGCGGGCCACCAAACTTTCCGCCACTGGCGCAACTACTTTTTGCTATTACTGACCGTCGTCTCAATATTTCCGAAATGACATCCATAAAGTTTTTTCAATTCGTCATCCACCCACCACACGGAAGCGTAAAAAACAAACATATGTAGAAAACATAAATTATTAACAGGTCATAATCTGACCTAAATGCGATCACGCTCCAGTTCACAAAATTGCTGCCAAGCCAGCCAATCACGGTCCATAGCGCCTCGTAATGAAGGAAATTCGTCTAGCCCACGAGCGCGCCAATTGTTCTTGTGAGAGATCTCGCGAGTGCAGCAGATCCTGAAATCTCGGAGCAGGTGCCCTGCCAGTGCAATGTGCTGACGAGGCACATCTCACCAGCACGCGTCTACTGCAGTCAGAAGCTGCAACAAGATCTTGGGTACGGTAGCGAAACTGGGCGAAGAAACCCTGGTTCAACTTCGCGAAGATCTGGCCGCTTGTGGTTGACTCGGTTCCCGATATGAACAGTGCACTCACAGAAGTGCGATTTTTTACGGCTAGAAGGAGGAGGTGTTTTTGGAAGACCTCAGGAAGGAATATTCTGTATTCAATCATACCGTTGCGCTTGTATCGAACATGCCACCAACGAATCAACCAACATGTCAAACCGAGACAAGGTTTGCCAGAGTCGTCTTCATAGTGAACTCCGCAGCACCGCACTGCACATTAGTGATTTCTAACAGCACACCGGCAAGGTGGGTGTGGGGGCTTCCCCCATAAGCAACACAGGGTGATCACAACACAATTCACGCTTTCTTGGTCATTCCTTCGGCTCATGCGTTTCGGAGCTGAGCAAGAAAGAAGCAAATCCAGCAGCGCTTGGGAGAACACATGTGCACAGAAGCGACTGAACCGCACCCGTGCACAGGGAGAGAAAAAAAATAAGAGTGATAATAAGAGGTGGTGCTGAGCTGAACTGCAAGATTTTCCTGCAGTACAGCGGTGTGCTCCCGTTTCCCCTAGTTCGCCATCATGACGTCATCATGACTCGACAGCCATGTCAGCTGCCGAAGCGTCACGCGGAATTTCGAGATTCTCCGTTAAGGTGTCAGCTCGTCGCCTCACACAACCATCACTGATGGTTCTGATGCCTTGTCTGCGATGGCAAGTCCTACTAAGTATCATCCCAGTCTTCCATCCGATGCGTCCACGTGGAGCAAGCGCCGCCCGGCGCGCTCCGGCGTCGTCCACTGCGGCGCAGTCGTCGTCGCCGCAGCAGCGGGGCCTCGCCGGCTCGGCGACATGGCTGCCGCGGCTCCACGTGTGTCCCACACGAGCCCCCTCACGCTCTCCCGCGCGACATGCTCAGCATGGCGGAAGTTTGAATCTTCAGCAAGTTCCGGCGTTCGCCAGTCCGACTGCAGAGGAGAGCTTTATCAGTTATGATGGATTGCAGTGCCGCCCGGCGAGCATTGTTAGCAAGAGCAGGAATCTTTTCCTTCTCCACTGCGGCAGTGGAGGCTGGATTCTCGAGTTCCATTCTCGCGTTTGCGCTGTGTCTTCTTTATTTATAGCCCCTTTGGAATTCGAAACGATCGTGTGAGTCGTTTGCGAACCAAGAGCTAGATACGGCGAAACGACGACATGACCATTCTATGGAACCCACCACTTCGTTCTCTCCCATTCGCCTAGTCTTTCAAGAATATTAATTTCCGCGACTACATGTATGCATCGTTGCCGAGTAACGCCAACACGGTGCCCCTCCAAGCCGAGTCGAGTAGTAAGACGTTGAAAGAACTCTAGCCGTGTTGATACCGTGTCCGCCAAGGCTGACTTGAGTGCGAATCTTGGAAACGCAGGCTCAGCCTTTCCCAGGCGGCCTGAGCAAAGCAGCCGTGAGTTCGTGACACCTCCGCGACCGCCGTGGTACCAGCCTGCCGTCTGAACGAGTCCTCTCTCCCTTACCACTCCTCTACTAGTCATTGCTCTGCTTAGCACATCGTGCCTTCCTTCCTTCCGTCTCCAAAGGAAGACCCGTCTGGAGAGTCATGGGCGGACCGGCGCAGCTTCTCCTTCCCTCCGCCGCTGCTGCACCTCCGCCTGCTGCTGCTGCTGCTGGCGGGGCTGCTTCTGCCTGCTGCCACCGTGCCCTGCTGCTGCCGCTCGCATCGACGACGCCCAACAGCAGCTCTAGCAGCTCCAGCACCAGCAGCACCCTCCAGCAGCTCCAGCACCAGCAGCACCTCCAGCAGCTCCAGCAGCACCTCCAGCAGCTCCAGCAGCTCCAGCACCAGCAGCACCTCCAGCAGCTCCAGCACCAGCAGCACCCTCCAGCAGCTCCAGCAGCACCTCCAGCAGCTCCAGTAGCTCCAGCACAGTAGCACCTCCAGCAGCACCTCCTAGCAGCCTCCAGCAGCACCTACAGCAACAGCAGCACCGCGGCAGCGCCGAGCGTTACCACTCACGAAGCTGCTGCGGAGAGAGGGGCTCCCGACGCGACAGGACACCTAGAGAATCTCCAAAACTCAACACGCGCAGGCTCAGCACCTTCAGACGCAGTACCCCCAGGCTCCACACGCTCAGGCTCAGCACCCCCAGGCTCAGCACGCCCAGACTCAGCACCCCCAGACTCAGCACCACCAGGCTCCACAAGCTCAGGCTCAGCACCCCCCAGCAGCACCTGAGTTCGACAGCTACCTCGACCGGCTTGGCAGGGTCTACCTGGGACACACCTGAGGGGGCAGGACCCTGAGGGGGGAGGGGGTCTACCGGGGGAGTACCTGGTGCTAGGAAGAGTGGGCGGGGGTGGGAGAGAGAGGTAGTGCGGTAGGGAAAGAGACGGTAGTAAGACACCGACTCGTCAAACGGACGTCTGGAGAGGACAGAACACGACGCGAGGTGGGGTAGGTAGAACCGCCACCCCGGTTGCGTCAGGGGGGAAGCCCAAGGAAGGACGCAGGGAACGGCACGGGAGGACAGCTTGTCCGCTGAAGTATCGCGGACAAAAGCTCGAGATCCCCAGATACGGAACGGAAGCATCGCCAACCTTCCCCGTCCACGCAGAGTAGGTGTGGTCTCCGGCAAGGAGACACGAGGCTGAAAGGTTGATCTGATGCGCAGCGTACTGAACCGCGAACGGCCACAGAAAATGGGGAGCAGCCGCCTGGATCATGGACGTACGAGCGACGTCCATGACCATGCCAAATGCGGCGCTCAGCAATCCCATTTTGCTGTGGGGAGGCCGGAAGCGTGAATGTCTGGCGGATGCCCTCCGCTCGACAGAAGGCTCTCAGAAGGTCGGAGGAAAACTCACCACCTCTGTCCGAGTGCAGACGCATAACAGGAAGGTCCGAGCCGAAACTCTCGCTGAGCTGGCGACGGGTTACCGCGGATCCAGTCGATCAACACCTCAGTGACGTCACCCTTGCGGCACAAGGGGAAGACTGTGGTGTAACGCGAGCAGTTGCCAACGACCAGCAGGAAGTAACGCTCGTGACCCTGTCCACGGACGCGGGCTGGGCCCCACACGTCCATGTGAAGAGTCTGCAGGGGAGCCTCTGTCGGAGGGAACGTGGAGGAGTGAGGAGCGGCGCACTGCCGGCCCTCGACACAAGGAACACAGGTAGGGGCAGGCCCTGGAGGAAGGGGAGGGAGGGACCGGGGGAGACCCGAGACAAGGGTACGGGAGGCCATACCTCGAAGACGAGGCAGGGAGGGGTGACCAAGGCGGTGGTGCCAAAGGAGAGTCTCGTGCGCCAGAGGACGACACGAGCAGGGGGCAGACGCCTGGACTGGACCTGGACGCTGGCAGCAAACACCTGACTAGACGCGGCTATCTGACCAGACGCAGTGACCGGAGGAGACGCAGTAGTCTGTGTGTACAGACTCGACCCAGGCCGACGGTGTGAACATGGCCAGGTGGCGGCCCGTCCTAGAGCAAGTGCAGTGGGTCACACGCTGACCCTCCAGGGGTGAACTGGTCAACCCACGCATCCTGGAGGTCAGCTCCACTCACCAAGTTTGTAGAGAACGAGGGGAGGTGGAGGTCCCGACAGCAAGCCCGACGGGGCCGCAGGACACGGTAGAACCGTGGAAGAGTGCGCTAGGACTGGGCCCCCAGAGGGGTCAGCCAGGGAGACTGCGACAGGCCGACTGAGCGGCGTGAGTGTGGTGCTGTCGCGGAAGAAGGAGCGCGAAGCACTAGAGTCAAGTGTGAAAGTGTGCAAGGCCTCAGTAGGTGCAGTACCAGAGAGAGCAGACTCACCAGCACCTGGAGCAGCAGACTCACCAGTACCTGGAGCAGCAGACGCACTAGCACCTAGAGCAGCAGCCTCAATGCCCGGGTCGGCCGGGACACTCAGGTAACAGTCACCCTCAGCACTATCAGACACAGCATACATGGCAGCAAGGATAGCATCGAAATCAAGATCAAAGATAGCAACATTCTGCCTAAGCAGATCACCCCAGTGAGGGAGCTCAATAGCGTCAAGAAACTGGGCGCGCCAGGCGTCATTCAGACGACCGAAGCAGCGCTGCGCAGTGTGTGGCAGCCCGCACGTCTCCCCACGACGCCCGCCGGTGCGAAGAACGTAAGTGCAGGGACCAGCACCCCCAGACCTCCCACGCCCAGCGTACCACTCACGAAGCTGCTGGGCCGACGGGGTCTCACGGGAACGTGGCTGCTGCTGGCGCTGGCTACCACCAAAGCCTCCACGCTGTGCGGCTGCACCTCGACCAGCACCACCGCCGCCTCCACCTCCACCACCCCACTGCCGCCACCGAAGCCTCCACTCCCGCCACCACCTCCACCTCCATCGCCACCCCCTCCGCCTCCTCCACCGCCTCCACCGCCGCCCCCACCGTCCCCTCCACCACCCTTGCCCCCCTTGCCCTTGCTGTTGCGGCGCCTCCCACTAGGAGTAGACGCAGCCCTGACCTCCTCAGTGCCAACGAGGTCGACAGCAAGCAGCAGAAGCAACAGAGGGGAGAAGGGGGACAGGGGAACACCCCTCAAAGAAAGGGGTGCGACGGTCGCCGCGAGAAGCACCTACAGCTAAGATACTCTTCTCAGCCGCAGTGCGGCGCTCCTCTAGCAGGTCGACAGTGAGCTTGGTGGGGCAAAGGGAGAGAAAATGGTCCCTGACTGACGCAAGGGAGTCAGGGAGGCGAGTGACTAGGTAGTAAAGGGTGATGTACATGGGGGGGGTTCTTGGCACAGAACTCAGTGGGAAGCGCAGCTCGGTAGCGGGCGTCACTAGTGCGGAGGTGAGTAATGAGGTCAGCGACTGTGGCAAAAGCGGCAAGATCAGGGAACAGGTACAGCAGCATGAGGCGGCTGAGGGCAGCAGTGGAAGGGGAGGAGTAGCGCGCTACTACAGCGTCATACAAAGACTGAGCAGTCTTTGTACTGGCCAAAGTGCGCGCGCTCAGCAGACGGCAGGTGACTACGAACAGCAAGGCGAGCAACAGCGTCACGAGTGGTCCATTGCGAGCGAACCGTACTGTCAGCAGTGGCAGCAGGTGCAGTAGAGACACCGGACATGTGATCGAAAAGGGATACCCCGTCCCTAGAGTCACACAGAAGAAAGAGCTGCAGGTCGTCAACCCACACGTCAAAGTCAACTGCACGCCCCTCAGCATCAAAGGTAAGAACAGTAGGGCTAGCCATAGCGGCAGTAGCAGCAGTAGCAGCAGTAGCAGCAGGAGCAGTGCATGCAGGGCAGTGCGGCTCAGTAGGGCGGCGCTGCTCGGTAGGGCTTTGCGGCTCGGCAGGGCGGCGCGGCTCGGCTGGGCGGCGCGGCTCGGCTGGGCGGCGCGGCTCGGCTGGGCGGCGCGGCTCAGCTCCTGGTGGCGCGACGCGGCAGGGCGGTGCGGGTGCTTACCAGGGTCGGGTGCAGGGCAGGGCCGCGACAGCAGGGGGGGAGGCCTCGACAGCAGGGGCCGCGACAGAAAAGGGGCCGCGACGGCAGGGGCCGCGTCTGCAGGGTTTGCGACTGCAGGGGCCGCGACAGCAGGGGCCTCGACGGCAGCAGGGGCCGCGACTGCAGCAGGGGCCGCGACGGCAGCAGGGGCCGCGACGGCAGCAGGGGCCGCAGCGGCAGCAGGGGCCGCAGCGGCAGTAGGAGCCGCGACGGCAGCAGGGGCTGCGATGGGCGGGGGAGCAGCAGGCAGAGCGGCCGGCGTCGGCAGTAGGGGCCGCGACGGTAGTTGGGGGTCGCGACGGCAGTAGGGGCCGCGACGGCAGCAGGGGCCGCGACGTGCGGTAGGGGCCGCGACAGCAGGGCCGCGACGGGCCAGCAAAGGCAGGGCGCGAGGCGCACTTTGGGCAGGGCGCGAGGCGCGCTTCGGGCAGGGCAGAAAAAATCGTGGTGGGCCCTAACAAAACGTTCCCACTAGGGAACCTGCTCATAATACCATGTTAGAGAAGTGAACGAATGAATGATTGAATTAGCAAGCAGGTGGGTACAAGTAGGAAACCTAAAAGTGTTGTACCCTATAAGAACTACCCCACTACAGCCTAAACAGCCTATAGCATATAAGTTTGACACATAACTGACTCGATATTGAGCAGATACCCGAGTCGTCACTGTATCGAACCGCAACAGCAAGACAGATAAAGTAAAACCTTTCACATTCCTTTGTAATCATATAAAAGCTTTGTATCTCTTTGCTATTATAAATTTATATTGTTCTCACACACCAGTGCAAGGTGGTTCAGTAAACTCTGTTATTACGCTTCCGCAAGTTACAACATTCCTACTTCAAAGATCTTAGCCTTGAAAAGATCCTAAGGGCTATTTCTCAGCCCAACATTCATTAACCAGGAAAAACATGTGATTATGCTCGACAATCGTGTTAGCTAAATCAGACCACACCAATTAAAGTCTGGAAAACCAGACAAAAACATGCGTCTGAAAAATCAGACCATCAAAATTTGCCCGTCTGAACGTCAGACGGAACGATTTTTTACTTTGGCTTTTTTCAGACGGGCCTAAATCCTAGCAAGAGCCCTGCCAACCACTGAACATAACAAGAGAACGTTCACACCAGAACGTTTAGATAACTACCACATAGCTGCACTTTGCCAAGTCAGCATCAGCAGGTGAAAATTACAACACATGCTTAGTTGGTAATTTTTACCTACCTAAAAGTAGCATTTTAACTGTTCGGGTTGTTTTAAACAACTTATGTAACGCACGTTTTCGTAGTTACGAAAACGTGCGCCAGGTTCAGTTTGCTCAGGTGGTTCAATTCGCCCCCAGATTGAAGTCCCCAAGTTCACGCACTGTTTCCGGGGGTCAATTTCTCAATGTCCCGCAATGTTCCGAGATTCCTACGCAAAAGTTCCGAAACGATCGCACTTTCGCGTCGGAGATGTTCGCCAGTAGAGGACGCGCTCTTCTGCGGAAATTCGCTTTTGCAGAAGCGCCGTTCTCTGCAGACACGCGTTCCTCTGCGGACACGATTTCCGCTTCTGCGAAGTACTTCTGCTGCAGTGCAGAGCTCCGCCCCGTCCTCTGCAAATTTCCGCTTCGGCAGAATTTCGCGTCCCTGCAGAACGCTGTTAAATTGTAATTGTATACATTATTATGTAACTGCCTGTAGTGTAGACTTAGTGTAGTTATATGCCTTGTTGTTGTGGTGCACCTTCTTCCTTTGCATGTTTTTTCCTATTTGTACCCTCGCTCAATATTGAATCCACACTCTTTCTTCTATTTGGCTTGCTCTACTCTCTCGACACTCATCCTAGTACCCTCAAACCCTAGCTATGGCTCTCTAGCTTATGAGCTTGCTTTGACATGGTATCAGAGCAATACTTTCCTATGGACCTTTATATAATGGGCCCACCACACTTCCGTCATGCCTTCGTCCCGCGTTCTGCCCGTGGCGAACGCGCCATCGACCATGGCGAAAGCGCCATCTACCGTGGCGAACGCGCCAGCAGTGCGCAGCCCGTTACGCGCCCCGTCACACAGCAATCGTGCGCACACCAGCACGCACAGCCGCGCGGAGCAGCAGCGTGCACGCCTGCGCGCGTAGCAGTCGCCCGCGCGAGCAGCAGCAGTACACACAGGAGTGCGCACAACAGCAGTGGCGAACGCAACTGCATGCGCACGTGCAGCAGCCGCCAACGCGCACAGCGGCACGCGCATGCGCAGCAGCCGCCCCGCGCTGTGAGCGCAGCAGACGCACGTGTAGCCTCTGCTGTAGCCGCGCGCCGCTACGCCCCATCTCTCTCCCTGCCGCGCGTGCTGGCGTGGGGGGGGAGGGTGAGGGGGTGACGGGGGTGACCAGCAAACCGCCACCAGCTGCCCTCCTCTCTTCCTTTCTCTCCTTGCAGCACTCGTTGCTGTGGGCGGGGGGGGGAGGGGGAGGGAGAAGGGTAAGGGGGTGGCATGAAAGTCCAGCAGCAGCACTCTCTCCTCTCCTCTCCTCACTCCAGCAGCAGCTCCAACCGCCCTGCCTTGTGGGGGGGGAAAAGGTTTGAGGGGGTTGGGGGAGTCGTGAACCCAGCAGCGCCAGTCGCCAGTGAGCCCGTTGCTCCAGTCGCCCGAGGGTCAGTTGCTCTATCCGTACGAGCGGGATGCTCCAGGCGTACAAGCCAGTTACCCCAGTAGCCCGTGAGCCAGTAGCTCCAGTTGCCAGTGTGCTAGCCGCTTCAGCCGCCGCCCCCACCTCCTCTCCTCTTTCTCGCTCTCCCTCCTCACTTCCTTCTGCTTGGTGTACCCCTTCAAGGGGTGTTTCTGCACATGGTTCTTCACTATAGGCAGTTAGGGGGTGTGTTAAATTGTAATTGTATACATTATTCTGTAACTGCCTGTAGTGTAGACTTAGTGTAGTTATATGCCTTGTTGTTGTGGTACACCTTCTTCCTTTGCATGTTCTTTCCTATTTGTACCCTCGCTCAATATTGAATCCACACTTTCTTCTATTTGGCTTGCTCTACTCTCTCGACACTCATCCTAGTACCCTCAAACCCTAGCTGTGGCTCTCTAGCTTATGAGCTTGCTTTGACAAACGCGACGACCCTCTGTAGGGTTAGTGCAATCTCTACACGGATCCAGTGCGTGGTGAATGCATGCTCACAGAAAACAACTGAGCTGCACCCATGCACAGGGAGGGAACAAGGAGGAGGGAGACAGCGACAGAAAGAGGTGGTGTGGAGCCGAACTGCACGATTTTCCTGCAGTCCATCCGGTTGCTGGAGCAAACTTTTGCTCCAACTCCCCTGCTGGAGGAACGAGTTTCCTCCAGCGTCGCCTAACGGATGCAGCCCCCCGTCGCCTTGCCCCGCACGCGAGGGCACAGGGAGGGAACAAGGAGAAGGGAGTGGTAGCGACAGAAAGAGATGGTGTCGAGCAGAACTGCACGATTTTCCCGCAGTACAGCGGTCTGTTCCCGTTTCCCCTCGTTTGCCATCATGACGTCACCATGACCGGTGACAGTCATGTCGGTTGCCGAAGCGTCACGCGGAGTTTCGAGCTTCCCCGTGAAGGTGTAGCTCGTCGCGTCACACACACATACCTGATCAAAACAACTGGCACTTGCTCATCCAAGGTCGACAATTGTCACGTCGAGGGATGCCGACGTCCCGGCGCTTCTTGGCCCGCGGTACGCGCGAGTCAGCATAGGCACCACCACCTCCATCATGGTTTTCATGGATTGTCTGCGATGGCAATCCTAGTACTAGTATCCCAGTCGTCCAATCCCATGAGTCCACGTGAAGCAGCGCCGCCCGGCGCGCTCCGGCGTCGTCCGCGGCGCAGTCAAAGCCTCGCCGGCTCGGCGCCATGGCTGCCGCGGCTCCACGTGTATCCCACGCGAGCTCTCCCGCGCGACAAACTCGTGGCAGAAGGTTTGATCTTCCGGGTTCGCCCGTCGGACAAGTGCTGCGCGGCGCGATCATTCTTGGCAGAGCCAAAATCTTTTCGTCATCCAGTGCACTGCTCTACAAAGAATGAGGGCCCCCAAAAACATGCGCAGGTATTCACAAAAAAAGTCTGCGAAAGGCTGGATGAATGGTTGGGAGGGATTGGAAACACTATGAGATGATGTGAGAAGTGGACATGTTTGCAAACCATTTCGCAGGCGCATGCTGATTGGCCGCGCTACTCTGAGACAAGCGCGTGCTGATTGGCCGCGATACTCTTGAGACAAGCGTGTCCTGATTGGCCACGCCACTTTGAGACAAGTGCGTGTTGATTGGCCGCCTGGTAGTTTGGCGTGCCGTTATTTTTTGTCCTTACAAGTTTCTCGATATTATAAAGATGGGTTCTTTTTTAGGGTATGCTTGCAAGTTCCACTCGATATTACAGAGATGAGGTGTACTTGTGGATAAAGAAAAGGGTATGACACGTCAGTATGAGCCCATCCTCCATGACGCGAAGTTTTTTTACAGCGCATTCTGAGCACGTGTTTTGCAATTTCTTTTCTTTAATTACAGCCCACTTGGAAACAAACACGTTCGTGCGTGTCGTTTGCAAATAAAGCGCAAGATTGAGAAAAGGAGAAAGCGAATGAATGAACTATGAATGAAGTGAGTACATATAGGAAACCCTAATTGGGTTGTACCCCCTATGGGATACCCCACTATAGCCTACACAACAGCATAAGCTATATATATGTTCTGACACACCCCCATAGGCAAAGTGGGGGAGAACAAGGGGTCACAAGACCAGTCACGCAAAGCACAGCAAGCTCAGGGTGGATCACAAAGTCACCACACAGTCCGAGCACAACGACAAGGCCACAAGGCCAGTTCACATGCAGGAGTGCACACATATATATATAGAGCTAGACAAGCAAGAGCAGGTATATATATGTGACAGTACAAGCAAGGTCAAGAGGAGAGCAAGTGAGGCAAGACAGGTACAAGACCCAGCTGAGTGCAGAAGCGCTGATGGTCACAAGGCGCAAGTGCCTTGGTGAACACATCAGCAGTGTTGGCCTCAGAGGCCACGTACGCAAGTCGCAACTGACCACGCTGCTGCAGCTCACGAGCAAGAAAGTAACGGAGAGCAATGTGCTTCGTTCTGTGCTCCAAGCGCTGCTCTCGACACAAGGCCAGCATGGCCTTGTTGTCTACGTACAGCACTGGAGGAGAACGAGGCGGCTCTCCAAGGTCAGTCAGCAGGTAGGTGAGCCAGCGAAGCTCCTGTGCAGCCATGGCCCCGGCGTAGATCTCAGCCTCACAACTGGAGCCGAGAACAGAGGACGAGCGTGTAGCCCGCCACGAGACAGAGCCGGAACCAAGACTGAAGGTGTAACCCTGCGACGACCGCTGCGTAGCCTGGTCGTCAGCCCAAGAAGCGTCCGCGTGCCCAGTGAGGACCACTGGACTCCGCCCTCCAAGCACTAGCCCCATGCCCGACGTACTGCACAAGTAGCGCAACACCCTCTTCGCTGCAGCCATGTGCTCTGGTCGGTGTCTCCCAGGAGCAACATAGCGTGCAAGAATGCTAAGAGGGTATGCAAGGTCAGGTCGTGTGCAGGTCATCAGGTACATGAGGCAACCAACAAGCTCTGGGTACGGGCCACTCGACTCTACGGACTCATCCGAAGGCAGAGCTGAGAGCGAGTGGCGAGTAGACAGAGGAGTGGCCTGAGGCGAGGAGTACGTGAAGCCGAAGCGCTGAAGGACCTGCTGCACCATGTGTGACTGAGTCAAGGTAATGGTGCGGCGTGCTCTGTCCCGAGTGATCTGCAAGCCAAGGTAGCTGCGCAGTTCACCCAGGTCTGTGCACGTGTGTCTCTTCTGCAGCTCGGACTTCACGTAGGCTAGTCCAGCAGTGTCAGCTGTGGCAAAGACCAAGTCGTCGACGTACACGAGGATGTAGAACGGCGGCAAAGAAGTGTCGGTGCGCAGAAACAACGACGGGTCAGCAGTAGAGGGAGCAAACCCAAGAGCCGCAAGCGTAGTCCTCAGTGTGTCGTGCCACTCACGCGGTGCCTGGCGGAGACCGTAGACTGGCCGTCGGAGGCTCCACTGGGTGCCAGGAGGGAAAGTCCCAGTGAAGCCAGGTGGACGGCGCAGCCAGATCTCCTCGTGCAGGCTACCCTGCAAGAAAGCAGTGCTGAAGTCAAGAGAGTGGAGCTCGTAGTCGCGCTGAGCGGCTATGTGCAGTAGCACCCGAAGAGTGGTCATCTTCGGGGTGGGAGAGAAGGTCTGAAAGTAGTCAACTCCCTGCCGCTGACTGAAGCCACGAGCGACGTACCGCGCCTTGAAGACAGGTGGAGAGCCCGGCGACCGCTTCACCCTGAAGATCCACATGCCACTGACGATGTTCGCCCCAGGAGGGGGAACCGCGTCAACGTAGGTGCCTGTGGACTTCCAGGACGCCATCTCTGCATCCATAGCTGCCTGCCACTGAGAGGAGTAGGGACCCTCTACGGCCTCCGCGTAAGAGCGCGGAGTCGGGATGTCTAGTGCATCCGGGTCTCCCTCAGGGGCAAGTAGTACGGACGCGAGATGAGGTGAAGCAGCAGCCAGACACTGGAACTCCTCCTGCCTGTCCTCAAGGACGTCCGTGCCAAGAGCACACTCACCCCCGACGGACGGAGGACAGACAGACGCAGACTCAGCAACAAGACCGGCAGCGTAGTCTAGACGACAGCGAGCAGCAAAGTCGACGAGCTCAGCAACAAGCGCAGACGCAGCAGTGGACTCAAAAGAGGGGTCAGTGACGACAGTAGCAAGGAGACGTGTGACAGTAGGACTAGCAGCACGAAGAGAGTCGGACTCTGGGTCGGTAAGTGCAGGAAGGGAGGACTCAGGAGGAGAAGGCAAAGGGGCACGCAGAGGAGCAGTGGACGGACGCAAAGACATCCGGTGCGTGCCACGGACAGGAGGAGGACGCTGACGCGAACCGCGACCACTAGCGCGAGCAGCACGAACAGGCGACGCAGGACGAGACGCAGGCTCACGACGCTCAGCAAGACCTCCAGTGGGACCAGTGTAAGGAGAGGGAGCCGGAAGTGGGGAGGCGGGCTCTAACTGGGACTGTGACTGAACAGGCGGTGGACACGCTGCAGGAGGAGAAAGACCAAGAACCTGCTGTAGGAGGGGAACGAAGTACGGCCGAGGCCGCGCGGCGACTCCAGACACAGCAGGGACAGCACCCTCAGCAGCAGCACCAGCGCCAACCGCACCTCCAGCGGGAGGACCTCCAGCAGCACCAGCAGCACCCGCAGCAGGACCACCGCTAGGAAGGACAGCAGCAGTCTCAGCACCAACACCCGCAGCAGCTCCAGCTCCAGGCGAACCCGAAGGCCCAGCAGCTCCGGGACCAGCGGCACAAGTACCCTCAGCAGCCGAAGGAGCTCCAGCTCCAGCAGTACGTCTCCAGCGGCGAGCAAACCACTCGCGCAGCTCCTGTGGAGAGAGGGGCTCCCGCCGAGGCGAAGCACCCGGAGAACCGCCAGGTCCCGCACCGCCAGACACCACAAGGGGAGGTCCAGTGGCCGCAGGCTCCGCAGCTCCAGGCTCAGCAGCTCCAGACGCAGCACCCCCTGGCTCAGCACCCCCAGTCGCAGCACCCCCAGGCTCAGCACCCCCAGACTCCGCACCCCCAGGCTCAGCACCCCCAGTCGCAGTACCCCCAGGCTCAGCACCCCCAGACTCAGCACCCCCAGGCTCAGCACCCCCAGGCTCAGCACACACGCGCGTAGCACCCCCAGAGTCAGCACCCCCCAGGCTCAGCACCCGCAGCAGGACCAGAGTCACCAGCAACCTCGACCGGCTCGACTGCGTCTACCTGGGACACACCTGAAGGGGCAGGACCCTGAGGGGGAAGGGGGTCTACCGGGGGGGGACCTGGCACAAGGAAGTGCGGTGGCGGGGGGAGGGAAGGAGTGCGGTAGGGGAAGAGGCGGTAGAAGGGGACTGACTCGTCGAACGTGACGTCCTGGGAGGACAGAACACGACGAGAGGAGGGGTGGTAGAACTGCCACCCTGGGGCGTCAGGGGGGAAGCCGAGGAAGACACAGGGAGCAGCACGAGGGGACAGCTTGTCCGCAGACAAGTCGCGGACAAACGCCCGAGATCCCCAGACACGGAACGCAGACGCATCGCCGACCTTCCCCGTCCACAGCAGAGCTGGGGAGGTCTCCGGCCGGGAGACCCTGGGGTGAAGGTTGATCTGATGCGCCGCGTACCGAACCGCAAACGGCCACAGAAAATGGGGGGCAGCCGCATGCATCATGGACGTACGAGCGACGTCCATGACCATGCCAATGCGGCGCTCAGCAATCCCATTTTGCTGTGGAGAGTCCGGAAGCGTAAAGATCTGGCGGATGCCTCGTGCACGACAGTAGGCTCGCAGAAGGCCAGAGGAGAACTCTCCACCTCGGTCAGAGTGCAGACGCAGAACAGGAAAGTCCGAGCCGAAGCTCCTCCTGAGCTGGAGACGAGCTACGCGGATCCAGTCGATCAACACCTCAGTGACATCACCCTTGCTGCGCAAGGGGAAGACTGTGGTGTAACGCGAGTAGTCGTCAACCACCAGCAGGAAGTAGCGCTCGTGACCCTGCCCACGGACGCGGGCCGGGCCCCACACGTCCATGTGAAGCGTCTGCAGAGGAGCCTCTGTCGGGGGAAACTGGGAGGAGTGAGGGGCAGCCCGGAGCCGCCCCTCGACACAGGGGACACAGGAAGGTCCGGGTCCCGAAGGAAGGGGAGGGAGAGACCGGGGAAGACCAGAGACAAGGACACGGGAAGCCATGCCCCGAAGACGAGGCAAGGAGGGGTGGCCAAGACGGTGGTGCCACAGGAGAGTCTCCTGAGACAGGCGGCGACACGAGCAGGGGGCAGACTCAGGACCAGACCTGGACGCAGCAGCAAACACCTGACCCGACGCAGCTACCTGGCCAAACGCAGGGACAGGAGGAGACTCAGTGGTCAGGGTGTAGAGACTCGACCCCGGCCGACGCGAAAACGTGGCCAGGTGTCGGCCTGTGCGGGCGTCCGAGCAGTGGGTCACCCGCTGACTCGCAGGAGTAAACTGGTGAACCCCCGCATCCTGCAGGTCAGCACCACTCACCAAGTTCGTCGAGAACGAGGGGAGGTACAGACCAGACAAGGTGCCCGAGGGGGCAGCCGGACACGGGAGGACAGTGGAGAAGTGAGAGAGGACAGGACCCCCAGAGGGGTCAGCCAGGGAGACTGCAACCGGCCGGCCAAGCGGCGTGAGTGTGGTGCGGTCTCGAAAGAAGGAGCGAGAAGCCCCTGAGTCAAGCGTGAAGGTGAGGGAGGCCGAAGCCGACGCAGTACCTGAGAGCGCAGCCTCACCAGTACCTGAGAGTGCAGACGCACTGGCACCTAGAGCAGCAGCCGCAGAAGTACCTAGCGCAGCAGTACCAATGCCCGGGTCGGGCGGGAAACACCGGTAACAGTCACCCTCCTCACTAATAGTCACAGCATACATGGCAGCAAGGATAGCATCAAAGTCAAGATCAAAGATAGCTACGCCAGCCCTAGACAGCTCTCCCCAACGGGGAATCTCACTAGCCTCGGGGAACTGTTGACGCCAAGCGTCCGTCAGGCGGCCAAAGCAGCGCTGGGTGGGGTGGGCACCCCCACACTGCTCACCCGCGCGGTCGCCGGAACGAAGGACGTAGGTGCACGGACCAAAACCCCCACCCCGCTGACGCTGCGTGTACCACTCACGGAGCTGCTGGGGCGGGGGGATGTCCCGCGAACGCTGCTGCTGCTGCTGCTGCTGACGCTGGCCACCACCAGAGCCGCTACGCTGCGGGGCACCACCCCGACCAGCTCCACCCCCTCCGCCACCGCCGCCTCCACCTCCACCACCACCGCTGCCTCCGCTCCCACCGCTGCCGCCACCACCGCCTCCTCCTCCGCTGCTGCCACCGCCACCACCGCCCCCGCCACCACTCCCACCGCCACTCCCACTCCCTCCGCCGCCTCCACCGCCACCTCCACCGCCCCCTCCAGTTCCACCCGCGCCCTTGCCCCCCTTGCCCCTGCCAGGGCGGCGTCTCCCGCTAGGGGCAGACGCCGCGCAGACCGACTCAAGACCAAGCAGGTCGGCAGCAGCAGCAGAGGCAACAGAGGGCAGCAGGGGGGAAGGAGAACACCCCTCAAAGATGGGGGTGCGAGGGTCACCACGAGAGGCTCCTACAGCGACGATGCTCTTCTCCGCCGCCAGGAGGGACTTCTCGAGGAGATCGACAGTGAGAGTGGTGGGACAGACTGAGAGGAAGTGGTCCCTGACTACGTGAAGGGAGTCAGGGAGGCGTGTGACTATGTAATAGAGAGTGATGTACATTGGGGGGGGGGTTCTTGGCGCAGAACTCAGCAGGAAGGGCGGCGCGGTAGCGAGTGTCACTAGTGCGGAGGTGCGTAATGAGGTCAGCGACAGTGGGAAAGGCAGCAAGGTCAGGAAAGAGGTACGGTAGCATGAGGCGGCTCAGGGCAGCAGTGGCAGGGGAAGAGTAGCGCGCAACTACAGCGTCGTACAAGGTCTGAGCACTCTTGTACTGACTAAAGTGCGCGCGCTCAGTGGTAGGCAGGTGGCGACGCACAGCAAGACGTGCAGCAGCATCGCGGGTGGCCCACTGAGAGCGAACAGTGGGGTCAGCATCAGCAGCAGGGGCAGGAGAGGCGCCAGAGGTGAGGTCAAAGAGGGAAAGACCGTCCGTCCTATCGCACTGTAAGAACAGCTGCAGGTCGTCGACCCAGACCTCAAAGTCAATGGCTCGACCCTCAGCGTCAAAAGCGAGGACACTAGGGGTAGCCATGACGACGACAGTGTAGCAGTGCAAGCAGTAGGGGAGGGGCACGCAGTAACAGTGGTGCTGTGCTCACCAGGCAGGGCAGGTCGGGCGGCTCGGCAGTAGGGCGGCCCGGCGGCTGGGCGGCTCGGCGGCTCGGCTGCTGGGCGGCTCGACTCCCGGGCGGCTCGGCGGCAGGGCGGCTCGGCGGCAGGGCGGCTCGGCGGCTCGGCTCCCGGGCGACTCGGCGGCAGGGCGGCTCGGCAGCAGGGCGGCTCGGCTCCCGGGCGGCTCGGCTGCTGGGCGGCTCGGCGGCAGGGCGGCTCGGCGGTCGTAG